TGCTTCCTCTCTCTCTCTCTGGACTTCCATTGGTCTCTGCCATCTACAGACCCCACTGGTACAATGTTTGAAACCCATGCCTGTCTGGTGTGTCTGGGCACAGGTGCATTCCTCAGCCATCATGCAACGGAAAGACTGGCTAGGCTCAGGGGCCTGAAGAAAGTGTTGTGCAATGGCCAGCTACAGAGAGACAGCGAGCGAACCTGACACAACATAGATCAGTGGTTGTGAGAATGCACTCATCTGGACTGCAACCAGATCTTGGGGACCAGAATTTAGCATCTTAATACACAGAGCACCACACCAACCCCCAACACACAATTGGTTGATTGAGGTGAGTGAAACGTGGACTATCTAGCCAGGAGATGAGGAGGAGAGTAGATGATAGAGGTACACCCTGAAAAGAGTATCAAGTCGACAAACATCCTCCTTTAATCTGCTCTGAGTCCACACTGGGGCCATCGATTCTTCATATACCCACCCAAGGCATCTGACTGGAAGCCCTCCCTATACAGGAACAAGAGCTTGTGGTGTGCAAACTTGTGCCTATACCTCCTATCACTCCCAAGGAGCCTGCAGTGCTCAGTGGGTACTTGAGTGCCTGCACCCTGCTGAAGACCTCTCACAGCGTCTGTCCATTGGCCCGTGTTCCCCCTGTGGCCTGCAATAGGCTCTTCCACTTCTCCTGAAGAAGTCCACCGAGCCATAGTGCCTCTCATCTGAGTAACGTGTCTCATTTCTTGGTCAATTGCCATCTCTTTCCTACTTTACATTCTTTCCTAAATGTTCCCTGGGTACTGAGGGTATCCCACGTCCAGTGCTGGAATTCTTCTTGCACCTGGATCACATGATAGCTGTTCAGTGAGGGTCTTTGGGTTGTAGAAAGAGAAACGGAGTCTGGCTGATTTGAACAAGAGCACCCATTGAAGGAACTAGGAAGTTCAGAAAATGGAAAAGATCAGTATCGACTCGAATCCCAGACATGAGGACCCAGATCCAACACCATAAACTTATGGCCCAGGGCTGGGCCGTCAGATGGCTTCTGTTCAAACACCTTAACTTCTAATGTCCCCCATTACAATTGCAAACTCCAGAGACACAATTATTGTAGAAGATTTCTTAATTCTGGAGGATTTTCCATTCACCCATTCTAGCTCCCAAATAATTGAGACAGAGACCTATTGATTTATTCAACAAGCTTTAAGCAAAATAACTAGCAGGTCTCCTTTATGTTAATCCTCTAGGCTAGTCTGGCTACTTCCCAGCACACACCCCAAGTTACTTGCCAATATTGGTCCTGTCTGGCTGCATCTGCTGCATCAGCCACGTCTTCTCTCTCTCTCTCTCTCTCTCTCTCTCTCTCTCTCCCTACTCCCCCATTCGTGATCCCTACCTAAGAGCCCAAGCCCTGGAACAAAAGCCCTCTCTTCTGCCCAATAACAGGCTGTTCAGCCATTTTATTAACCAACCAGAAATAACTGGAGAGCAAACTTTACACCACATAGATCAGTGGTTGTGAGAATGCACTTATGTCATTGCAACCAGATCTTGGGGACCAGAATTTAATATCTGAATACACAGAGCACCACACCAACCCCCAACACACAATAGGTTGATTAGGGTGAGGGAATCTTGGGCGATCTAGCCAGGGGATGAGGAGGGCAGTGGATGATAGAGACACCCTCTGAAGAGAGTGTCAAGTCTCAGGTGCATGTGAATGTGAAATTACTCTACGCAGTCCCATTCTGTCATAGCTGCTCACATCCTGCTTCTCAAACAGACAAATAACATCAGAACTTGTCATACATTCCCAAAGCTCAAGAAGAGGGCAAATGCCCCCACCACTTCCAAAGATGATGGGACACTCACAGACTCTCTTCTATGCCCGAATGTCAAGGTCAGGTCAGGGTGAAATGTTCTCAGCTTAGTATTATGTCCATTTCACTGTATTCATTCGTGTGCATGTGTGTGTGTGTGTGTGTGTGTGTGTGTGTGTGTGTGTGTGTGCAGTAGAAGCTATCACCTGCAATTGCTTCCTGGTAGACCGTAATGACAACATTGCAGTTTGTATTTCTACCTGGCTATGGGGAGTGACATTGAACATCTGTACCAATGGCAGTGGTCATTGGAGACCCAGCCAGACTCCTTCCTACTGTACTCCTTCCTACATCTGCTAAAACAGACCAGGTGGGCTCTAGGCAAAAATCTTGAGATACTTGAGGTATAAGGGCATGACAGTGACACCAGCCACCCCTCTCTCTGGTGAAGGAGGAGTGCGTGGTACCCTTGACCATTCTGCAGAACTGCCTGATGGGGTGACTCTCAAGGACCCTCCCACCCTCTTGTCTCTTCTCCCTGCTCCTATGTGGGAACCGTTGAACTTGAGGCTGGACCTTCTGTGTGTTTAAAGTTCACTGGCACCACCCTCAGTACTCAGCAGAGTCTCCAACGCCACCCACCCACAGGCTCTGTGTCAATCACTAGATCCTGTCTAAATTGGAATCACAGAGATGCCGTGTTCCCTCTGCAAATGCATCTGGTATTCCTGATCACTATACCTGTGTCAAAATGAAGAACAATTATGAATATATGAATTTTCTCAGAAAAAATATGGTAACCATGATATCTTAGTTAGGGTTTTATGGCTGTGAAGAGACACCATGATCACGGCAACGCTTACAGAGGAAAACATTTCCTTGGGGCTGGCTCTGAGTGTAGAGGTCTAGTCCATTATTGTCATGATGGGAAATACAACGGCGTGCGGACAGACACAGTGCTGCAGAGGGAGCTGAGGGCGCTACATCTTGATCTACAGGCAGCAAGGAGAGACTGTGTGCCACATTGGGCAGAGCTTGAGAGGAGGAGACCCTCAAGGCCCTCCCCCATAGTGACACACTTCCTCCAAAAGGCTACACCTCCTAATAGTACCACTCCCTGCGGGCCAAGCCCTCAACTACATCAGTCCATGGGGGCCGTGCCTATTCACACCACCAGATGGGAGTTAACATTCCATCCTCTCTGATCCTCCTTGAAGTTGGCACTTGCTCTTTGAGTCCTGATGTCTCAGGTGAGCAAAGGCAAATAGGATTGTCCTTGGATTCAGGCTGTAGGCTAGACTGTCGTGGCTGGGGCACTGGCTGCCTCCTTTACTTCCTGGTGGTCACCCAGAGCTGTGAGGGTGGCATACACTCCCCGTCCCTGGGTTTTGCAATCCTGGGATGTTTTGTCTCTTGAGTGCTTTCGGAAGCCTCCCATCGCATGGTTAGTTGGAAGATCTCTGCACCTACTCTGGGGTGTCCCTAGAGAAAGGGAAGCAGTAGAGAGATGGACCGGTGTAGTGAGGGGCCTTGTACGGTGTCCAGTGTGTTTGCCTTGAGTATGTTCTCCGTGGTGGGGACTGGATGGATGTGAAGACCAGGCTGGCAAAGTGTCTTGGCTGATGATCCCCGCAGTGTCCACTAGGCGGTGGTAGTGTTCTCCCTCTGCTTCCTAAAGCCTTTGCAGGGTTGCTTCCCTCTGCATTAAAGTCACATTCCCATTGGCTACAATTGCCTCAAGACCAAAGGTCTTTTCAGCATCCTCTCCCAGCCACCCCGGGTGACTTTTCTTGCCATGTCACCGGTCAACTGAGCCATGCTTTAGCAAATTTTCAGGATGGGACAGGCTCTGCTTATGTACTGGCGGTTGAGATCCTTATTTGTCTCTTTCAGCTGAATCTGCAGCCAGGCCCTGCAGCTGAACCCTACCTCTATTCAGGATCGTATTGGTGTTCCAGTTCATTCTGGGCTTGGTTCTCAGAATCCCCTTCAAGGCTGTCTCTCAGCTTTAGTGAACATTGTTATGGTTCTGGATCTTGCTGTGGATTTTCTTTCTGTCTAGCCATGGCAAGGAAGGGAAAAAAGGACAGAGCCAGGGAGTTTGGAGAAGAAGAACAAAAATAACTTTACACTTCTTAACTTCTATTGATTCTTTAAATGCCAGTGTGTATGGGTGTGTGTGTGCCTGTCTGTCTGTGTGTTCCACTCACAGGCAGAGATCACAGAAGGGCTTCAGATTCCCTGAAGTTGGAGTTACAGCAGACTATGAGCCACTTGGTGTGCATACGCAGAGCTGAACTACCCAGCCCCCATAAAACTTCTAACAAATATGGTCACAAGTGTCTATCGCCTAATGCTGAGGATTGGTTGGAGTCTTGGCATGTCCCTAAAGCCTCAGGTCCGAGAAATTGTCTCTCCCAAAAGCTGAAGGGTGTTGGCAGCAGTAATGTGAATATTCCATGTCCCCTTTTGTTCTTTTCTCAAAAGCTCAGTAGGGCTGGCCACCAAGCCCCAAGGACACGTGTGGAGTGGAACCTGTCCTGACGCAAGGGAATTTGGCCACTGAGGTCTAGCCATACTGAAGTCCCCTGCTGCCTAGAGCAAAACTGAGCTATTCCCCAGCCATCAGGCTGCCTGTGTTTGTAGACATGAGCCTTCTGTCAGCAAGAGGCTTTGTCTCCTCTACTCAAGGGGTCAGGGAGCCAATCAGGGGCTCAGGGAGTCTGCTGTGGAAGACACTGGGGGGTTCTCAGAGGAATTAATGCATGATGTGTCTCAAAGCAGAGCAGGAACTTTGAGCAGAAGAATTCACACAGGTCGGTGTCTACACTGCCTGCTGGCTCAGCAGCAGCACGGTCCTCAATAAGCTGGGACAGGGATGTTCTCCTGGAGTGGGGATGGCATAAGGTGTGCTGGGGACTCGGCAGAACAGGGGTGCTGGAAGCGATGGTGAGTTAGTGATGGTGAGTCTTCCCACCAATGGAAGCCCCACCCAACATGGGTTGGCCAAAGCAGAATTAAGAATGTTGAGCTGAAGTCACTCTTTTGAGTTGGCAAGGGGAGTGGGATTCTGGGAGGCACCCTACAGGTGCTCATTCCAGAGTGTTGATTGGATCACGTTCGCCTGAGAGGCAAGAGTTTCACTTTCCATTTCCTCCACTGAGTATATCAGGCCAGAGGCTGCTTGTCCTGTGACTCAGAGGTCCAGCTGCCTACTGCATCTACATAGCTAAGGCCATCTGTGTCCTGTTCAAACTCGGTAAGTTGACTCTCTTCAGCTCCTTGGCCTCCTCATCCTCACAGCTTTACCTCTAGAGAAAGGGATAATTGCCTCATTCTAGGGATAAACCCAGGGAAGTTAGGAGAATTCAGAAAAACTGGATTTGCTGCCAGGTTGGGGTCTGGCTGTTTCTCTGCCTCTGCACTACACACAAGACAGGATGGGTAATCCCCCAGATGGGATGACCAAGCGGTCTGCAGCTCACTGCAGGTGCCCAGATGCCTACGATCTGGCCAGCAGGCTCCTGACAGAAAGCGAGGTTATGGGTGTCCACCAATTGGGAAAATGTAGACACTAGAGGATGTGGAGGAGGTCAGGAGGCTCGGGACCCACTGGTTCTTATGAGTATCCTGAAGTTGGACCAGGATTATGGCTGCCAAGACCAGGTGGGGACAAATGTTGGCTTGCAGATATAAGCAGCCCAAAGATTATGCCACCAACTGTCTCTGAGCAGGTCTGTGCCATGCCCAGGGGAAACTGAAGACGTGGGGAGAGTGTGTGGCTGAGGAGTCTGGGAAAGAGGGTGGGTCACAGGTCCTCCTCCTCTGGGACTCCCCTGACCTCAGTACAGTCCAGGGGGGCAGGGAATAAAGAAAGAGAAAGAGTTTGCTGTGGATTAGGTGGGGAAGGGTGTCAGTGTGGGTCGAGGAGGGGAAATTCGAACAATCACGTAAACCGTGCTGTGAGCCTTTTTTCATTCAAGAGGTCAACAGGCAGACTTCAGGTGTGTGTGGATGTGGTTTCAGTCGTCTGTGCCTGTAGAAGCTGAGAACATCCTAAAAGTTTTTGGAGAAGAGGAAGGAGAGGGGGAAGACAAAGAAGAAAAAATTTAAAAGTAAGCACTCTTTCTTTTTCTTACCTTTAATGAGGTTATGTCCTCAGAGATTGGTGACTTTATGTCCAATAAATGTCTCCCTGAGCCCATGTCAGAAGTGCCTTAGGCCTAGGAGGACAAGACCAACTGAGATGGTTCTGGCACCAGCACTGGGCTGCTCCAGGAATCGTGGCTGATACTGTTACCCTAGAGAAAAGTGCCCAGGAAAGCACTCTGTTCAGACCTGAGAGGGAACGCAGAAGCCAGCCAGAAAGAGGTAGCCTGTGAGACCTCACGTGGATAGAAGGGGGAGGCCTTTTGTAGGAAGGGAACAGCCCAGCATAGGCCTTGGAAACTGGAAGCTGCTTGAGGGGATAAGGAGAGAGGGACTGAGGCAGGCTGGGGGCGGGGACCCTCTATATAGGGCTCAAGGTTCTGAGCCTGACCCTGGGAAAGAATTACAGGTTCTCAGGGAGGAGCTTGCTGTCCTGACCCCTGTCCTGCTTATGGAGGGGAAGTCAAGCAGCCACCAGGAGAGGCTGTGCTGTCAGCCCCTGAGGTGGTGAATGTAGAGAACTTGTGCACAGATGGGGAAGGAGGCTCTCAGCCTGCAACTTCAGGTAGCCAAGAGCAGAAAAGGACGGTCATCTGCACACCTCCGGGCCTGTCCAGAGAGGTTTCCTGGAAACGCCTTCAGCTGCCACAGCTCAACAGGGAAGGCAAACTTTGGGTGGCCTGGCAGGGACACCTCCCAGCTCTCTTCAAGGAGGCTGGAAGAGAGGTGTTTCTGTTGGTGTCCTCCAGCCCAAAGCCCCAGGGGCACTCCTGTCATCAAGTGAACCTGCGGTGCTCGGCTCTCAGTGATGGAGGAGGTCCTCCGTGGAGATCCAAGGCTGGAAGAGGCTGGAGAAAAACCCACCAGAGATCAGGACTGTGAGCGGGAGGCATGGGGAGGGCGTCTACCAGAGGGGCTGCGGGAAGTGGGGGCCGGCTGTGTCCATGCAATCTCTCCATCATCCTGTCTATAGAGTAAGGGACCCAAGAAAGGACCCCACAATGTGTACTTTTTTTCCAAAAATGCAAGGAAGGAACTCCATTCTTTCCCATTGCAGGGCGGCTCCATGTGATCTGTGCCTATAGCAAAGTACCTGCAAGGAAGCAGTTTACAAACAGCGATCATGCCTGAGCTCACTGCAGAAGGCTGGGCTGTCTCAGAGTATGGCCCATGCACTAGCTTTGGGTTTTGACAGGATCTTCCTATGGCACCGCAAGACATTGTCACAGAGAGAGACAGAGCAAGCATGCAGACTCCACACCCTCTTCCTCTTCTCAGAGTCCTCAGCTCCAGCCTGGAGCTCAGGCCCCTGCTGATATTAGCCATTACTTGCACACAGCTCCCATGCCCCTGGTAGCTGCCAGAACACTCTTCCCACCTCTAATTTTCATGTGTTGATTTGAATCTTTTTCACAACCGTATCCTCAGTTCCTCACGCTTCCCTTGGACCCCACAGGGCAGGAGGAAAGACTGATGTCTGGGAATTAAGTTCCTTGGGTTCTTGGCAGCCACCCTGGAGAAAACCAGGAAACACCGGGCTTCCTGGCCTCCTGCCCTCGCTGCTGTGGTCCCCACTCCATCCCACACCATGTTTCTTCTTCCTTTTAGCCTGAGCATCTGGTGAGCTGCAAGGACAACCTCTCAAAGGTCCTGTGACAGGTGCCGAGGATCCAGACACTCTCATGGCCTCTGGAGGTAGCTGTAGCCATCTACCTGCCTGTTTTCTGCCCTCAGCCTAGACCTTGTGGCCTCCACACCACAGGAGGATGAGGCCACCAGGACCAAAGCCCATGCCCTGACCCTGGGTCTGTAGGGATCCGCCTCCAAGCATATCTGGGGCATTTGAGGGGTCGCCTTTCCTTTACCTTGTCCTCTCTGGTGTGACCAGGAGAGCCTGAGGATGTGGAAGTCAGTAGAGTCATGTGGCTCAGTCACAACTCCCAAAGTCAGACTCTTTTGTGTAATTCGTTTGGGTCCACAGAGCGTAAAGTTTCTATCGAGGAAGAAATACTTCTTTAATCTTGATTTCGGGCTCTATAACCTACATGGATGCATGCATTGTGAATACAACTTGAAAATCAGTATCCACCCTTACTGTGTTCAACACGCCCTGATATCCATTCAGTTTCCTTTTCCAATGTTCCCCTTGAGCCAATACGCTAGAGCCAGAACCAGAGAGGCTGAACGTCACACTTGGAGGTACCAGCACCACAGTGGCTGATGTGCCAGCTGTTTGTGGGATGAGTAAACCGGAACTGAGACCCTCCCCCCTTCGCCAGTGCTCAGTCTTCATTTCCCATTTGCTCTGAGCTCCCTGCTCAGCAATGGTGCCTGAGTCAGCTCGGCTCCCATCCCACGGTACAGCAGGATGACGGCGGAACAGAAACCTGTGTCTTCTCTCAGCTCTGGAAGCCGGTGTCCACAATGGAAGTGAGGTGGCTTGGTTATGAGGCCCATCTTCCTGGGGTGAAGAGGGAGCAGGCGCCCTGGATCTTTATAGCACCCCTGCTGTAGTTTTTGTATAAAGAAAGAGAGAAGGGGGAGGAAGAAAGAGAGAATGAGTCGTTTCACCAGGACTGTGGGTTAGGGATCTATGTTTACATTGTTGAAACAATAACCGTAATTACTTCACTGCCAGAGACTCTATCTAATCAATATGGAAGCTGGGCCTTACAGCTATTACATAGGGACCAAATGACACAGCTGAGTCCAGGGCGCTGCTGAATCCATCAACAGAGCTTCATGTGACAAACGCTCATGACACTAAAAACCTTATACAGGCAGCTCCTCTGCCCTGGTCTCTGACTTCTTTTTCTTCTTTCCCACCTAGGGAGCAGATGCTTCATCAGTGAAGCCTCTGGGTGTCCCCAGGACATGGCAGGCAGACGAGACCTGCATCACCTGCTGGCTGATGATGGAGCATGGGAAGCTTTTGTATCTGAGACCAACTTGCCCAGGTCACTGCTGTAGGAGGCCCCATCACTGCCCCCACCCCCTGCATGACTGGTTCTCTCTGGGCAGACACACCCACTCCCAACAGTCCCAGGAGATGGAGCAGAGGGCATTCCTCAACAGCCCTTGGAAAGTGTTCTAACACATTGGGTCCAAAGGATCCAGCTGACTCTCCCCAACCCTGCACTGAGATTGCAGAAATGTGCTCCTGGGCACAGCTTTTGTGACTTGGGTTTGAGGGATGGGACTCAGGTTTACAGGTGTCCCTGGCAAGGGCTTTCCTAACTCCCCGGCCCTTAAGGTGGCTCACCCCTACAGAAGACCACAAAACATCTCTGAGCTATCTAAGCTCCCCCACCAAAGGCGAACTTCCACACAGCTCTAGAATCCTGATTGGGTTGTTATAGGACGGATCACTGTAGGAGGGGTCTACTACAGCCTATTTTACACAGCCCCAAGCCATCCCTCTCATGCTGTTGACCTCTGCTCCTCCAGGGAGAGGGCAGCCGCCCTGCACGAGGTGCTGAGGGAGCTCACAGCACTCCTGGCCATCGCAGACAGAGACAGAGACAGAGCTCAGAAAGGCCTGAAGGGCAGGAAGAAGTTTCTGAAAGCATTTCCTCGCTTGAAAGCGGAGGTGGAGGAGCAGCTCACACAGCTCTACACCCTGGCCGACCACGCTGAGGAGCTGCACAGGGGCTGCGCCATCTCCAACGTGGTGGCTGACTCCTTCAGCACGGCCTCCGACATCCTGGGCCTCCTGGGTCTGTTTCTGGCACCGGTGACAGCAGAAGGCAGTCTTATGGTCTCAGCAACTGGGTTGGGGCTGGGGGTGGCAGCGACTGTCGCTGATGTTGCTAAGTCAATCATGGAGGATGCAAGCAGGCGTTCGGATGAAGCTGAAGCCCATCACCATGCTTCAACCAGCATGGAGGTCCTGGAGGCAGGAACCACCATGGGTAGGATTGCCAGCAGGGTCACTCGGGCTACCAGAGATATCACCAGAGACCTGGAAGCCCTTGAGCAGCACATGGATGCCCTCAGGCTGGTTAGAGCCAACCCTCGCTTAGAAGAAGAGGCCAGGATCTTTACCACCACCGGAAACCTCCCTGCCCAACAGGCGAGAAAGGTGCAGACCACCATGAAAGGAACCCCCCTGGCGATGAGCAGGGAAGCCAGGATCTGCAATGCCACCTCCGCAGGTGTCTCCCTCCTGAGAGGAGTTGACAGCCTTGTGAACGGGGCGTCGCATTTGTATGAAGGGGCCCGGTCAGAGTCGGCTGAAGCACTGCGGAAGCTGGCTCGAGAGATGGAGGAGAAGCTGGAGGAGCTCATCACATTCTCCAGGACGCTCTGACCAGGCTCCAGTCAGCCAGCCCCACGACGTGCTGAGGTCAGGGGAGAGGACATGGATAGAGGTGGGGACAGTGGAGGCAGTGTTAGAGAGAGAACGAGGGTGCACTCGGGCCCGTGGGTCAAAGCGTCCGGGTTTCTGTGTATTGCTATATACAGATGAGACCCACTGGAGCCTGAGATGAGGTACCAGAGGACGTGCTGATGAGGGACTGGGAAGAGGGGCCTCTGGACTAAACATGGGGAAGCCAGGGAAAAGAAAGACTGGAAAGCCCTCCCCATCAGAGCAGCTGGAAACAACAAAGCAGGAGACAGGAGACTCCATTAAACGCAAACCCAGCGGAAGCTGTGTGTTCGCTAAATAAGCCACTGGCCCTGCACTAGAGCCCGTGCTTTCCCCCAGCTCACCAGACCACCCCATTCTCAGGCATGTCTCCATCCCCTAAATAAACTGCTTCTGTTGTTACTGCCTCAACATGTGTCTGACTCAATCCTTTGTCCTGGGACCTGAGAACCTGGAGTCAGGGGTCCTCCTGACCCTCAGCCTTGTCTGTAACTGCAGGGGCAGCCAGCCAGGGGCCAGGCACACAGGCTTCTGAAGTCCTTCTTTCCAAGAGCATCAAGGCAGTTCTGTCCCCTCCTACAGAAGCTCTGGGGCACCATGTCAAAGCCCCCTCAGGCAGCCCACGTGTGGGGCACGCCTTCCCTTCCATCTTTCCCTTCTGTGTTTTGTCCGTAGACTCTGGAGCCAGGGTGCACAGTGTGCCTGAACCCTCACTGCCCATTACCATTGTCAGCAAAAAAGGACAACTCTCACCTCAAAGGGCAGAAAACAGGGTCTATTCTGGAGACAAACACGAGTGACCACGGCCCAGGAATAGTTTACCCCAAAGTCCATCTTCCCACACGGTAACGATTTCCTGAAGCTTTTATAGTAAGAAAACAAAGGTGGGCTCAGAGGGTAAGAGCATGGGCTGCTCTTCCAACGATCCTGAGTTCAAATCCCAGCAACCACATGATGACTCACAACCATCAATAATGGGATCTGGTGCCCTCCTCTGGTGTATGTGCAGACAGACCACCGTATACATAATAAATAAATAATTTTTTTTTTAAAGAAAGAAAAAGAAAACAAAGAAAGTCAGAAATCAACACACTTAACCAATTCGTTTGTGAAAACCTCAGAGAGATAGTCACGGGGAAGCAAAGGAATCTGTTACAGGCCTTAGCTGCTGTCTGATGACCTTCTTAGCTTGTGGGTTGGTGAATCTAGGGTTCTGCTAAGTTAGTACATCCCAAAAGGTTTTTATGTATTAATCACCGATCTTAAGGCCAACACAGAGGTGGCAAGGAAAAGCTACACAGGGCACTAAAGATAGTCAGAGACCAATGTAATCAGGCTCTGGATCTGTAACCTGCCCGCAGTCACTGAAGGCTTAATCAGCTAATTAGCCTCTTACAAGATTTTGTTTCCAATTCCTTCTGGAAATGGTCATTTTTACCAGCCACTGAAGGCTGAGTCAAGGTTAGTGCACCCTCCCTTGTGTCATGACCACCCTGGAGTGGGCCCCAAGGTGTTGCTGCATGAACTGATGGTGGGCTGTGTGGACTTGTGAGACACCAGGATCCCAGAGATTGGGCCGAGATTCTCACTGAGCGTCCACAGGGGAAACTGAGGCCCAGCCAAGCATCCTATTCCAAATACTAGAAGAAGCAAAGTAGGTGGGTTTCAGGCCTGCAGTCCTGGCCTTAGCCAGCCCTTCTTCAGTCTGTGGGGCAGAAGAAGGGAGACAGACAGTGTTCTCTGTGTCTGGGTGGGCCAGAGTGCCAGTGTGGGGACATGAGGACAAAGTGCACAGTCCTGTAAACAGGGCCATGCTGTCTTTAAAAGAACAAAGGGCAGAGTCCAGGTAGGGGCAACCTATGTGTCTATATAACCAAAGAATAATAATAAGCCATGGAATTATTAAGAATAGCATCTTCCCTATAAAGTCAGAATCAGAGCAGTGTGGCATTGTGCACTCTAATTTCTCACAATTTCTCTTTTTCATCTGGTAAATAAAGTTAGGATTGGCTGCTCTGTTCATCCCTAGAAAGCCACTGCTCACCAAAAAAGTAGCCAGATGGCCACCACATACTTGCCACAGAGGCCAAGGGAAAGCAGGTCCCAGGAAGCCTGAGCTTGTCTCTGATCGTGGAGACTTTCATAGTGAAGAGGCCAGGCCACTCATCCTGAATCCCAGAACCATTGGGGACTTGGAGTATAGGTAGTAAAAATAATTTAAAATTCCCCTGAACTAATTCAAACAGCATCCGAACACAGCGCACGTATGCACAGACACGCACACAGCTCCCATTCACACTCAGCTTGGCCACGCTGTGTGTTGTTTCACCCTTTGTCACACAGGCTTCCAAAAGTGTTGATTTCTTAACAGTTTCTGTCTCTGGGTGGCAGAGCACCCCCTGAAGCTAGTGGACTCTGGTGGGTGAGGCACATCGTGAAGGGTTTTTGCTTAATTTGAGGTGGAAGACCCACTTCTAATCCGGATCTTTGAGGAGGAAAGACATGCCTTTTCAGACAGATCATTTGAGAAGGGAAGGATGGCCTCTTGTCTGGGCCACACCTTCCCCTGGAAGCCTATATAAGGACGTGGAAGGAGGGTGTTTGTGCTCTTTGCCTGCTTGCCTTGCCTCACTAACAATGGCATTAGAGCCTCTTTCTTCAGGGTTCCAGAGCGTACTGGAGACCAGGTACTGGAGACCAGGTAAGACAACACACCCTGTCGACTAAAAAGCTGCAGGAGTCTCCCACCTTTCATTCACAGGCAGCCACTGTTAGACTAGCTACACTGCAGCCTGGGAGTCGTTCTAATAAACCCCCTTTCTGTATGCAGAGATACTCCTTTATACACTCTGTTACTCTGGAGAACCCTTCTTAATACGGATGGTCAGTTCTCCCTGCCCTCTGCTTTGGCCTTAAAACCAGCTACCCTAAGCAACCACTCACACCCCTCTACACAGTTTTCTCTGCTCACTCTGCTGTCTGACTTCTGGACTTTGAGTGCTGGGGCCCTGCCTGGACATTTTACAGCACCCAGCTTTAGACTGTCCCACAAAACCCCACAACGTCTCACAGCCCAGAGGCTACAACGGGATTTCCTGCCCAGAGCTGGATCAGGAGGCATCATCCAGACATGGAAATTCTCTCAGTGGTACGTTAGCTTTAAGATGCATTTCTATTTACGTGATTTTTTTTTTTTTTGTACCTTCCACTGACGAGAGGACTTTACCCTCGTCCTCTAAAGCCCCAAGTTCCTGTTAGCATGATTGGACAGGAAGGATGCTGGGTGTGAGAAGCTGACCCTGGGTGTCACTTTGGGAAGGGGACTTCAGAGCACCTGCCATGTCTCAGACTCTGACTGGCTCTTACGTTTTTTGAAATGTTCTCTTTCTCTCCCCTTTTGATTTTGTGTGAGTTTGGAAAGCTTTGAGCAAGGCGCGGGAGGGGATATCACACACCGGCAATCCTAACACTTAGGTGGTGCCGGCCTAGGATTGGTAGTTCATACTTCCCCTAAGCTGCATAGTGAGATTGTGGCCAGCCTGGCCTATATGTACACTGGGAGAGTACGGGCAAGAACAGTGAATTATCAGTTTACAAGGGTGGAGTCCGGTCCTGAGAGTGAGTCACCAATATCTTCAGCTTTTACCATAGCAACAAGTACATTTACTCACAGTGTAGTCAGGTCCCAGGAAGAGCTGGTGCCTTCTCCTGACAAGGCTTAAACCCATTTTTTTTCCTTCCTCAGCCTCCAAGGAAATCTCAGTACAGTTTCTGTTTCTCTCTTTATGAAGTCTCCCACCTCCACACACACTACTGAGGACTGGTGAGGGTGAAAGAATGAACATCCTACACACTGCCTGTGCTAAGATGTTAATGCCCTTTAAGCCAGGCATCTGCCTCTACAGACATCATAAAAAATAATCTCAATTGCAGGCACTAGCAGGCAATGAGAACATTCTTTGTATTGTTATTTACATAATGATTAGGAACATCACAAAGTCCAGGAGTCAGGGAAAAGAGCAGAAGTCAAAGGTAGCACACCGCAGGGCTGGGACCAGGCAGGACCCCAGGGCCTGATGGGACCACGATATCACAGAAGCGAGGAGGGTGTGGTTCCTAGGAAGCCACTAAGGACCCCAGTGAATTTGTTAAGATGAGGACCTGGTACTTGGCACAAGGCAGTGCTGTGGAAACAGAAGGACCATTTAGAACTGTAGACATACTACAATGCACACATGTTTTAGAAACAGGAGGGAATTCCAGTATATCTTTAAGACAGTGGGGCTTAGTCATCTGAGGGAGAGATGTGGACTAGAATGCCCCAGGTTCAAAACCTCATCTATCAACACTGAAAAGTCACACACATTAGGTAAATATGCAACAGTCCCTCCTCCTTGACATGGAGTCAGCTGAGTCCAAACCTATTAAAGCATGCATATTGACGTTGTTATGTATGAGTAGGGAGCACAGAGCATCATGGAAAGTAAGTGTTGTGGCTTGTACAGGAATGGTTAATTACATTTGATGCTTGGTCATTAGGGTGTGGCCTCACCATAATGATAAATAGACTAAATCTGTGACTCTGTAAGCAAACCTCAATTAAATGCTTTCTTTTATAAGACTTGCCTTGGCCATGGTGTCTCTTCTTAGGAGTAAAACAGTGACTAAGACAGTAAGTAGAAGATATTACCATTAATACAAACATGGTTCCTACCCTCAGCTAGCTACCAGAACATCCTCTCTTTCTGTGCACAGAGTCTGTTGTTCCCCCACAGCTGTGTCCTCATCTGACCCCTTCTCCAGTGTCCCCAAAGGACAGGCATCCTTCACCTTGGCTTGGAAGAGGGCAGCAGGGCTGGAGCCACGGATGGACTTCTCTAAATAGCAGTGACACAGCCCAGGAAAGCAGAACTATGTGTCAAGCTCTTTTGGTCCTGGGAAGCCACCGTTGAAAGAACTGTGGGTCACCTGATCCCTGGTCAGAACAGCTGTCCCCATTCTATCCCACAGGTTGTTTTTTCCTGTAGCCTGGACACCTGGTGAGCTGTAAGGAACCCTTTCAAGTCTGCTGACTGACACCAAGACCCAGCAGCTGTCATGGACACCTCAGGTAATCAGTCTTGTTCTCCACTCCTCCCCATGGCCTGTGACTGGCAGAGCCTCATGCTGACAGCCTGCTGAGGAGTCAAAGATACAGAAGGAGAACCCCAAGGGGAGCATGGAGTTTCCCAGTTCTGGGTCAAACTGTCTCCCCTTCCTAACTCCTATGATTCTCAGGAGTCATCTCCTCAATACCCAGCTTGGAAAATGGAAGCCAGGAGCGATGGATAGTGAGGGAGGAAAGGAGAGAGGGACAGAGACAGGAAGGGAGAGAAAGAGGAAGAAGGGAAATAGGAGGCAGAGGCAGGAGA